CCTCGCGTGGTAATTTTTTTTTTCGCTTTTTGTCTTAAAGCAGCTGAACATTGCTACGATGAATTTCCTCCCTAAGTAAAACCACGAGTTTGGAAATCAAACCATGGAATTGCATTGCTTTGCCAGTGAAAATCAGACTTATACAGGAACATGACTTTTGGCGTAGAGTCTTTAAAGTCTTTAAAGGCCAAGAAACCTACTGCTGAAAATTCTACAAGTAAAAACCTGCATAGAAAACGTCCGATTTTTGTCATGGAGAATATTTTTTTGTAAGAAAGTACGGTATTCAAAGCACAAACGAAATGGCTTTTAAAAGGATTGTAACTTTACGCGCGAGTTTTCGATTTCCCGCCATCAGATTTTATGCGCCCACGTTATTGTCGTTCAGCGGATTCACGCATGCGCATGCAAAATGCCCTCCTGTTAAGCGTGACTTGTTTCCAATTGAATGACGTCAACAGATCGAAGCTTTTTGATTGGCTATAAATGTACATAATTCTATGCAAGGGCTTATAGTATTTATCAACAATTGAGCTAAACAGTTTCAGTTTGGTGTTGTTAAAATCAAGGTTAGAGTAAATGGACTTCCAGATTGGGAAATACATGAAAGTAGACAAACGTCTCAATTATTTTCGACGAAATATTGAGGCGGGTTTCATGCAGAGTTGTTCCAAATCAAGGTCGACTCTACTTCCGGCATTATGCACAGCATGGTCATATCCGAAAAGAGCGGACGACGATCATTCCATTTAAGAAGGGAATTTTTAAAAGTACACACAGGAGACACCTCGAAATATTGGTACGTGTCTTGTTATCGTAAAGTTAAACCTAGCAGGGAACTTTTGAAACTTCCTTCTCTCCATCTCGAAAACATTTATTACAACATCATGTGCGCATGTTGGTAGACTAGCTACAAGTCGACCTTACTAGTTTCACTTTTACAGCAAAGAGCAAGCGGAGCGAGCTTTATAGGACGAAGGACTTTTTCGAAAATCTGCCTGTATGCTAGTGATGAAGCATGTTAGGCGGCGGAAACCCATACACACAAGTCGCCCAAACTAATATAAGCACTGGCTTCACCGAGTTATCAAGCTCATACATGGAGACATCTGAGATGACACAGGTGTCAAAATATCTTTATTCTACCGATTTGTAGACAGCTTTTGGGAACGATTCGTCATAACTCGCCATGTGAATTATATAGATGTTTTGATAGCCAATTAAATGGGCAGTGTAGAAATTTCTTGAACGTTTGCTCGGTCATTTAATCTGGTTAATTTTAATAGATCAGTAAAAATTGCAACAAAAATTTTGCCTTAGTAGGGAGAAAGTTAGGCAATTCATTTTATGATTAACCACAGGTAGCGTTCAGTAAATGTTATCTAATAACGTGTGAACCGTTTGTGTTATTTCTATCATCATGTTTTTCGAATGTTTTAATGTATAATGGTATAGTTTCATAGTGTGGGGGATAACTGAGAATAGTTATAAAGAAAGTTGACTTGAAGCACTTACATTGACCCTTTACATTGATATAAAATTTAACTATTTCCTCCTCGGTTGAGTTAATGAAAAGTTAGAGACAAATTGGGTTTACTTCTTTATTTTTCTAGGTTCATTCACAGCACTTCCTTGCATGTTACTCTGCCAAAATAAAGAATGACTGAAAAACTGAAATAAAGATGACCTTATTTGTCACTTCGGGTAATAATATTATAACATTCTGTACTCTTTGCAATCCTTGATTATTTTTTTTACTGCATTTAAGCCTCTGATCTCATACAGATAACATATTTTATCAGAAATTAGCCTGATGCCTGATATTACTTTGTTACAAATCATGGTTAGGGAAGTTACCATTTAATTTCAAGTCTATCTAAGCTTTATAAAACTCCATTAATCGTAGTACATATGTTGCTATCACCTGATATTTCTTTGTTACAAGTCGTTTATAGAAGGATTCTATGAGTTAAAAAACTGATTGATTTTTTCTATTACTTTTAGTATTCATCCATTGTTTTGCTTGCCCATATTATTTCAATTTGAGTGTTTGTGGGCGATCTAGGCTTTATATAGCACTCACTTTATCGTAGTAAGTATTTTGCTATTGTTTTGATGAATTGTGCTAACTAACGGGGACATTCAGTTATTCAAAACTAGCAGCCGCCGGTCACACAGCAAACTTACACTTTCTTTAGTGTACTGTTATATGTATTATCAAGTGGTAGTAGATTTCTCCAGTTTTGTCTCATTTTCGTCAACAGTGCCGAGCCTGAGTATCAGGCCTCCCTAAGGGGCTAGGGGAGAGGAGTTACAACAGTGCAGGATGTAATAGTGAGCCTTCACAACAGGACGGCAAAAAGTCTGTGTGTGACAGACGTGACAGTGTTATTACTTGCGTGTTTTGTCGTGATCTTCACTTAACGTATATTAACTGTGCACGTTCGGTCTAGATCTCAGTAGATCTGTTACATAAAAAAGTTTGGCGGACACTTTTTCCAAAGAAAATTATTATCACGGTTTTTCCGTCTTCTTTCCTCTTATTTTCGTACTGAGGGGATCGCAACTGTGTATTTTAAACTACTAAAATCCTTTCCTCTGCTCGCGCTCTCATGACTGTTTCCTGAGTGGTCCGCATGAACATCTTTGTTTATCAACAATGATATAAGCAGGCACATGGCAAAAGTTTTCGATGAAGCTGGAAGTTTTCGAATCGATTCTCGGGTGGACTTGATCGGTGGTATCAGCGAAGTTTTTTATGGCGATTTCGCAGCGTTTGTAACCGGTCTCAAAGTTTCGTTTTTGTGTTTCTTTCGTTCTCTGAATCTTGAACTTTTTAGTGCAAAGTCTTGGTTTTCAAACAAGGCCGAGAATCGGATTCCAGCTTTCGCCGTCTCTTTTGTCAGATGCGGCTGTTTCATTTTTTCATTCACTTATGTCGTCATAATGTACTTTAGGGTTTATAAAGTGCCTTGCAAAAAGGTAGGAAAAGAAAGATTCAACGAAATATTTTTAGCATAGATCAGGGTAATCAATAGACATTTACGCGGTTTTATTAACTTTTGAAATGGACCAGTTTGTGAAAATTCATCGAAACCGCTGGAACTAGGAGAAAGCTTTAAAATCAGCAAAGTTGCTAACTTTGAAAGTGGTTTGTTAACAGTAATGAAGATATGGTTCGGCAAAGTCACGAAATTGTGGATAAAAGTCGCTGCAGCATGTCTCCTTTTGCCCCAAAAAGTCAAAACATGCGTGCATTAAAGTTGAAAATAAAAATTCATCTCCCAGAGCATTGAGACATTATTACTGCGAGAGACCGGTCCAATGGCTCCCGCGGACCCAAAACCCTCTGCTTTTCAAATAAAATGACTAAGAACTATCTAAAATCTTTGTGCCACCTAGTATCTAAAGGCTTGCTACGGCCCTGCAGGACTTCCGCCGTGCGAACAGCATCTGCGGGGGAGTGAGCGCATTTGCAGTAGTAACTTTGCTCTTTTCTGACAAGTTACTCTCGAGACCTGGCAAATTCAAACAAAATTTTTAAGGCGCTCTTTTCAGAACTAGGTCGATGGATCTTTTGTCTATTAAGACGATTCAAGTTTCAAGGGCCCTGTTTAAATTCCGGCAAACAAAGTAAGTCAATATAAATAAAGTTTGATATATTCCTATACTCCACGCGCTTAATCTTATCGTCTGCTAAGATTTTAAGCAGAGTCACCTCAGTACTTCTTGTTTTTGCATTTTTAAAAAGGAAATTCATTAACATTGCAAAGATCTGCGAGCTTCGTCACTTCGTATGAATACAAGTTCAGTTTTTAAAGGGTTCACCTACCGATGCTCCTGAGTTCCTGAAGTCCAAGTAGCGATGAATGGCGTTCTTTCCGTCGTCATCGTAAAACCTCTGCAGCGTAATAGTTATAAAATGAATTATTTAACGAATTAAGGCCCAAATAGTAGGGTTTCGAAATATCGGAGAACTCTATCACACTTCTGCTAAAAAAATTTAAGGGACGTCCACTTCTTGGCTTGTTATTTAGTTACACCTCTCAGCCTCTGGATGGCTCTGTCCCACTTTGGACACACAGACTACTACTCTGCCGCTTTATTTCTTACCGCAGCAGTCATACAACGCTTTCGATTGGATGAAGCAAACGGTCTTGTCTTCTGATTGGCTCATTCCCACTTTCCTCCCTTTTTCCGCCCTGGTGACGCCCTGGTGCACAGGTCCACCTTCTGTCGGGATGAAACATGTGGTGCACAGATGAAACAGATAATTGTGCGGCAACCTGATTGGATGGCGTGCAGTATGTGGTCACGTGGTCCGTCATTTAGTCCAAGCAGGAAAACACACTTTTCAGCGTTACAACGGTACCGTTCCGAAAATTGTTCATTATGAGGCTAGACCGATTGCACATGTTGATATTATTCTTATTTCTTCCTGATCGTAACGCCTTCGCCTCGATTAATAAGAGAATTGTTCTGACACAACCCATTGTAATTTTGGTCTCGTACGATTGTTGGACTACTTGGAGAAAGCGCAAGTAATGGCATCAAAGCGAAACACCTTCTCAATACCTTTGTTACCAAGACATTCCCGAATCATTTCACGTTAGTTACAGGGCTTTATGAGGAAAGCTACGGGATCGTAGCAAATACGTTTTTCGATCCTGTGTTCAACGACACTTTCTATGTACGTAGATTGTGTAGAAGCATTACTTGGATTCAAAATGGTGGAACGGAGAACCGGTGTGGATCACGATCAAAAAAGCTCTTAAGAAAGGTGCTGTGGTGTTTTGGCCTGGTTCAGAAGTGAAAATAGAAGGCCACTACCCATCACACTATTTACCCTATGATCGGTCACTTTCCTTCGAGAAACGAAATGTACAATGTTAGAGCAAGACGATCCTTCAAGCTTTTTGGCCGCTTAATTTAACGAAACAGGTCACAGTGGGCATAGATATAGCCCTAATTCACCGGAGATTAAAACTGTTGTTCATAGAATGGATAATGTCACTGGATATCTGTTGGAAAGTTTACGAAATCGTGGATTGTTGAAGTAGGTAAGATTATCTAAGCTTAAATAATAACCAAATCAACTATTTAACTGTGGAAAGTGGACATCTGACGACGATTGTTGTTTCATCCACAATTATGTATGTGATGATTAAGTTTATTAACTGGGCTGCTGAAGGCGGGCCCAGTTTATACTTGAAATACGTGTATCGCAGCACTTCGCAAGGCTCGGAGGGGAGGCCCATAAAATGTCAGGGATGGAAGGCGGGAAGAGAATTGGAGTAAATTGTGTAACTGGTTATTAATCGCTAGCCTGCGTAGCAGGCGCTAGGAAATAAATGGGCGAAATTTTTTTTTCATTTTGCCCATTTATTTCCTAGCGCCTCTCGCGCGCGTTTTTTTTTTCATTTCGCCCATATATTTCCTAGCGCCTGCTACGCAGGCTAATTAATCGCAGGCTTAGGTCCATAATGAAAAGACCATATATTAAATATATTTATTAACCTAATCCATTCGGCCATTACCGGGAAATGTCAGACTGAGACAGAGAATTGGAGTAAATTGTGTAACTGGTTATTGATCGCTTAGGTCCGTAATGAAAAGACCATGATAATAAATTTATTTATTAACCTCATCCATTCGGTCATTACCGGGAAATCTCAGACTGAGATTTCCCAGTAATGACGGAACGGACAAGGTTAGTAAGTGGTTACTCTGGGGGGAGTCAGTGCCCTGGGATAAAGAAGGCCTGAAATTAAGTGCTACTAGGTTTTGCAGCCAGTAAAAGTGCTTGCGCATTTAGCTTTCTTAGCTCATGCAAATTTTCAAATTTGTGTCTTGTTATTAATGCTGTGTGATGCTTGTAATGGCCATTCACCCTGATAAAGGACGGTAAAGTGGGTTGAAATATACATGTAGGTGAAAGACGAAAAAAACGTACTGTTTTGCTCTTCATTTGTGGTACTGGATTTATTTAATTATGAAGAGAATGTCTTTTAGTAGATACTTAGGTTACCTGAGATCAGGCGTTATTATTGTTATTTTTTGAGCTTTTTTGCCTCTTTGGCTCGAAAGCGAAAAAAGTAACACCTGATACATTCATTTAACAAGCCATTAACTACCCAATTTACGTAATGTAATGTCTGCTTAACCTGTCATGTTATTCGCCAGCCAGCATTTACCAGACAGGAATCAAATTTTGGTGTGAATAAGGGAAAAGAAAATTTTAACCCTTTAAACCCTAAGATCAAAATATGAATTCTCATTTGTTGCCCCTATTCATTTCCTATGGAAGTAGTGTGGTGAAGTTGATAAAATATCAAGCAAATTCATCCTGTGTGATTATGTCGGTAATTCTCATGACCACTCTGTTTTACAAAGCATGGATATTACAAGGCGGAATTTGATGCTGATCACCCTTAAGGCTAAAAGGGTTAAATACGCCCATGTTCAGATGGCAAGAAAATGTTTTAAATGTTTTTTATTTATTTGTTTTTTTGTGATGGAATTCTGCTAGCTGGAGCTGCCTTACCTTTATTTAACAGCTACAAATGAATACAGAATTTACCGGTAAAAGTTCGTTGACGTCGTTCTGTGCTGAAAGTAGTGAAAAAAATTTTAATGGACTGCCTGGAAATAAAGGTCATTCCAATACTGCCGGAGGAAAGTCCGGAGCAGCTTATCAAAGAGATTGGTACTTTAATCGACGTAAATGTTGTCATGATGATGCTCATTTAGCAGCAGCTCACCGGCTTCCAGACACCAAGAATGTGAAGCATCAGTTGATTGTCAAGTTCGTACACAAAGATAAAAGGGAAGAAATGTACAAGAAATGCAGGAATCCAATTGTGAAAGAATATTACCAACTTGCTGTCTGTACAAGCCACAATGGGTCACGCTGCTACAAGCAACAATAAAATCCACATCAATGAATCTCTCACAGGTTATCGCAAACAACTCTTTGGCCGTATCAATGACTTCAAGCGAAAGAACAATACCTATGGACTGCAAATGGAAAGATCTTGCTGAAGGCTCATGATTCTTCAAAAACCAAATCTTTTGTTACACTTGAAGAATTTGAAGACTACATCGAACAGATAAGCAAAAATTATAACTCATAATTCTTTTTTTCTTTTTCCCTAATGTTTATGTACCCTATAATAATATCTAGCTATAGACACATACATGTTCAATCTGAATTATCCCCAAAATAGCCTGCAAGCTGTACCTTTTCATGACCTGGATGACAGAGAATTTCATATTCTAAATGGATCCTGTCACTTGCAGATAGATAATTTAAAAAATTAGATTTATATAATTTGCTACCCAACCCTGACGAATCTGATGATGCTGACCCTGATCATATATTAATTAACCCTCAATTTGAATAAGGATCTAAGTAAATCAGGAGCGAAATCCTTCTCATTTCTTCATTGTAATATTAGAAGCCTATCAAAAAATATTGGCCTGCTTGAAGATATGCTGTATTCTTTAAGTGGACAGCCTGATGTATTAGGAGTTTCTGAAACCAGGCTAAATGCAACAGGGTGCAAAGAAAATCATTTTTACAGCTTGCCATTTGGGCAAGCTGAAGCTAACATTTACTAGCCTAAACATCATTTCAACTAGCCCCGAAAACGTTTTGAGAAGCAGATTGATTTCACAGTTCTTCTGTAATTTGAATTCTTCAAAAAAACTTCACTTGTCCATCAGGCAAGTTAATAACAGAATTCACTAGCCCGATAGCAAAATCCACTAGCCCCGGGCTATCAGACACTACTTTCTTTGCATGCTGATGCAAATACCACTTTTAATACTGAGCTGATTAACTATAATATCTACCAATGCAAGCTGATTCTCCAACCCCGGTGAGAAGAGTTGCTCTTTATGTCACTAAAGCTTTAAAATCTTTTCCAAGGTCAGATGTAACTTTGGATATGCCCCTTGTGGAATCTGTTTGGGTTGAAATAGCTACTCCCAAAAACAAAAAATCCAACTTTTGTTGGCTGTATCTACAAACATCCAGGTGCAAATATTGATGAATTTAATGGCAAACTTGATGAAAAAATGAAGCTATTTAATCCAAACAATTACCAATTGTATATCCTTGGTGATATGAATATAGATAGTCACCCACCTACAGAGGCTTACCTTGACATGCTGTATTCCAATAATTTATTACCAATTATTACTAAACTGTCACACCTGACCTATCATTCAGCTACATTAATTGATCATATCTATACCAACAGTACATGCAAAGTTGTCTCTGGAATTGTAATGGTGGATATCTCTGATCACCTCCCAGTTGTCTCTGTTACAAATATACAAGTTAAGAAACACAACCCTATTAAGTATTATAGAGATTACAGCAATTTTGATTAAGAATCTTATTTACGGGATATCAATGCAGTCAACTGGAATGCTATCTATAGTAATAATCTGCATGAGACAACTACTAAAATAACTGACCTGATTAAATCAATAAATTGCAGATAAACATGAACTAATTGGGTAATTGTCCCAAAAGAAACAGACATTGTGTACAAAGCCATGGATAACTAATGGTATTCTCAAATCAATCAAAACTAAGCATAAATTATACAAAACACACTTTCTTTCTAACAATCCAATTAAGGTGACAGAATATAAAAAGTCTCCGCACCATCTTCTTTGTACATCCTAGAGTGCTGCTCTCTATTTCAAACTCCTAACAATCCTTAAATTATATAATACGTATAAATTAAAAATATGTTGCCTTATACATAGAATGAGAAATGAAACTGATAGCTTTCCAGATATTTTCCTTGATGTCGTGACTCCAGCATCGCATATACACAATCATAATACAAGATTTGTCAGTAACCTGAATTATTTTAGACCAAGAGTATCCACCAACTTAGGTAAGACGTCCTTTAAATTCTCCGCTCCAAAAATCTGGGAGACTGTACCTCCTGGTCTCAAGTGTCTGCCATATCATAAGTTTAAGAAAGAATGGAAGTCTTGTCTTCTAACCAACCAAATCTGACCTTGTGTATATGTTCTATCACCCTTGATATTATCTGAGATTTTATTTCCTCTCCTTACTGCTGCCGATTATCTGAACGTGACAGTGTCCAACAAGAAAGCTCTTGCTACTTTGGACACTGTACACAAATGAATTTAATGTCTTTTAGTTAATTATTATTGATCAGCTACTTTATTTACCTACCTACATACACTTGTGTAAATATCTTATATAGTGTGAAATAAAGAATTGAATTGAATCAATTAGGTTGGTGCAACATATTTCACGAACTAAAAAATGTTGCGAAAGTGAAGATGACTCAAAATAATTCACAGGTTCTGAAGGAGGAATTACAGTCAAACCAGGTCAAGATTCCATTTATGAATTGATTATGTGAAAAAGTTAATCTGTTTGTACCCAATATCAAATTGCATTCAAGTGATCAAGGAATTTTTGACTGCAACTTTTTAGTATACAATGAGATGGAAAATATTTTAATGGATAAATTTCTATTTAGACATTCTTCAAATTCAAGAAAACTGAGCTGGTAGAAATTTTATAACGAACTCGCATGTGTATTCACTGCTCATTGCCCAAGCAAAAATGCAGACTGAAATCAACAACAACTAACGGATGGTGGCATTTTGGCCAATCGGAACACTGCAAACCATCTGTATTGTTTCCTATCCAATTAGAAAGAAGTCCAGATTCTGGCTTTTTTGAATGTGATCATGCCTTCCTCCCAAAAACAGATTACAGAGATAAAGCGAGAGGGAATGATCGCAGGCTAATCCTTGGGATATGTTGTATATGGTAAGATGTAGTAGCTCTTTACTTGTCCCATGAGTAAATAATTTATTAGGTACAACTCGTGGGTCTAAATATATTTCCATTGTATGTTTATGTAGACTGCAAAACAGTCCGTATTTTTGCGTATTCAAGTACGCGCGAGCAGTCAAACAAAAGGTCTGGAATGATGCTGAAAACAGAGAGCGAGACTGGGGAGAGACGCTAAACATTTTTTTTTTCTCTCACCTCACACGCCCTACGGGCGTGTGAGGCTCGCGCGCTTCGCGCGCGTAAGACTCTTACGCCATGCCACGCTTTACCGATTTCTTTACTGATTTTGAGAAAAAAACCGACTGTTTTGCAGTCTAATTTTTATGACCCATTTTAGGTAAACCTGATTATCACAAGTGACCATGGCATGGCAGATGTCAACAACTCCCGTCTTATCCAGCTGGATCATTACATTCCATCGGACTGGTATACACTCATCACTGATCCAAACAGGGCAGACCATGCTTCTAATGTGTTTTTTCATATTCTACCCAAGAAAGGAAAGTTGAATGGCACTTACCAAAAGCTCAAGACTGTTCCACATCTATATACATACCTTAAAGAAGAAATACCTGAAGAGTTTCATTACAGGCATAACCGACGTGTCATGCCAATTTTCATTGTCGCGGAAGAAGGATGGACCATTACAAAAAAAAAGTCGAGAATAGACAGTCGTGGTAACCATGGCTACAGTAACCAATTCCCTGGTATGCATCCCTTTTTTATTGCCCAAGGACCTGCATTCAAAGAAGGCTTTGTTTCAGAACCATTTGAAAATGTGAATACCTACTCTCTTGTGTGTCATGTTACAGACAACAAAACATTTGGCAAACTGCAGTTCTTTCAAAGTTTTGACCTGTTATTTTAATGTCTCGCTCAATTAATTATCTGGTAGAAGCTCCCCACTGTTTGAATTTTAATAGATTTCATGACCCATCTCCTTTTAACACAATAAAATAATAATAAGTTATTGACCAGTGATGTCAAGTAAACATAAGTAGTATTAAAAAATTATTTATTGATTAGTTTGAAAGTAATGATACTATCGTCAATATCCCACTTGGTCCCAAGGCTGTGCTACCTTAGCCCCCCAAAGCCCCTATAAGTGTTCCTTTAAAAAAAGCCACTAGGAAATCTCTTTTTTTTCTGCATAATGATCATATGCTGGGTGCCCTGTATTTCACAGGCTCCCTACAATTTTTCCACAGAGCTTTGGCTCCCATCATGATGGTAAGATTTGTTAGACTATAGAAATTTATTTTAATTTTTTTAGAGAAAATTATTTTTTATATCTGTAAATTTTTAACCTTTTTTTTCCTGAATTTTTTTTGCAGTTGTTATTTAATGCAAAAATTCTTAAATGATGTTGTGTTCGAGTATTTCTTGTAAATGTTGTTAATTAAGTAGAAAAAGTGTGCAAAGTATGTACAATTTAGTAGACTCTCACAGTGCAACTTAACTATAACTTTTCACCCCTTTTGCACATTGTCATATAAATTATGCAATCAATTTATCTGTATTTACCTGAATATGTCTACTCTTGCATCTTTTGTCTTTAGTCTTGTTTCATCGTTTATTAATGTAAGCAAGTGCTTTAATGTTTGCTTTTATAAACGACTATTGGAGCTAATAATTTAATGTATAAATATAAGATTACATATCCAATGAAATTGGTATCAAGTATTTGTACAGTACAAAGGTATTGTGAAAACATGATTTATTGTGAAGCAATTCAATATTTTGGTCCTTTTTAGTTTCTTCACTCACTGGTAGATGTGCTTTACTCAGTCAGTATTACCGTGAAGACTTATTTATTGCCTGGTTCAGTAGCCTCGATTGCTAATTTTTACTTGTCAGCCAAAAGAAAAAAACCTTTTACCACTTTAATTTATTATAGGACATCGAGGATCTTAACATCACTAGAAAACACACCTTAGTATACCTGCCAACTTTTTCTGAGATATAATGCACCTATCAATGTAATGCAGGCGGGGGGGGGGGGGAGGCAGGGCATATGAGGTGGGGATTTGATTGTCTTTGTTGTCCCTGGGGTAGGGCATTTGACTGATCTTGTTCTCCCGGGGGAAGGGATATTTGAATCGTTCTTCGCCCGACGTGGAGATGTTTGACTGCCGACTCGGACGAAAAAGACTGAGACCGAACATATGTTTCCCGCTTCCACGCTTCACAAATGCGCCATACGGTTTGAAAAGAATAGGAAGTCATGGATTTCACTGTTTTGTCTTCAAATTTCGTTCGTTTTAGCGTGTTTTTGATCAATTGAACCTCTTAATATACTGTGGTATCAAAGTAAACGGAAGTAAAGAGAAACCAAGTCGATTTTTGCAAGTACAATTGTATACCTGCCAACTCTCACGCCTTAGGCGTGAGTCTCACGCCTGCGGGTTGAAAACTTCGATCTCACGCCGGCTCACGCCTGCGGGCCAATTTCTCACGCCTGATTGAAAAATGTGAGTTGTTGCCGTCCTGCTTGACACAATTTCCAAAAATATGTTCACTCAGACCCATGTAAGGAACGAAAACCATGTGTAAAATGAATAAATGGCAATACCTTCCTCGCGATCTCTAATTTTTGAAGTGAAAAGCACTGGGAGCGAGCTCGCCTTTGGCAGACTTCGGCAGAAATCGGACGTCTTCGGAAGACTTCCGACTTCTTCGGGAATCTTCGGAAATGATCGTGTCGTCTTTAAAAATCCCAGCACTTCCAGGATAAAAATCTCACGCTTATTTCTCAGAAAAAGTTGGTAGGTATACAATTGATTAGTGTATCCATGGCTCATTCGCTACAATCACTGTAAACTTATAAAACTGACTTTCTTTGTACCCTTTACTAAGAACGGTATATTTAGACTTACAAAATGTGGACTTTCTCCTAAAGGTTTATGGAGTCTACGCAGTGTAACACGGATTATGGTTAAAACGTATAATTGCAGCTGTAACAGGAACATGTATCTTTGGTGATGTAGCAACGTTTATAAAAGATTGCAGAGTTTTATTTGGAGATATTTTTATTGTGCCTTTCTTAGGTTCTGCCTTGGGATTGACAGCAATGTGCAGCCTGGGGTGGGGAAATTTGGTTGGATTTGACTGGAATGATTTGCCCGTGGGCAGGGAATTTGATTGCAAATTTTTGAAAAAAGTCAAATCCCCACCCTATGCCCTGCCTCCCCCCCCCGCTGGCATTACATTGATAGGTGCATAAGCGTGAGATTTTTATCCTGGGAGTGCTGGGATTTTTGAAGACGACACGATCATTTCCGAAGATTTCCGAAGAAGTCCGAAGTCTTCCGAAGAAGTCCGAAGACTTCTGAAGACGTCCGAAGTCTTCCAAAGACTGCCGAAGGCGAAGTTATCGAGTCCTAGTCGTAGGACGCGTATAAACGCGAGCTCGCTCCCAGTGCTTTTCAATTGAAAAATGAGAGATCGCGAGGAAGGTATTGTCATTTATTCATTTTACACATGGTTTTCGTTCCTTACATGGGTCTGAGTTAACATATTTTTGGAAATTGTGTCAAGCAAGACGGCAACAACTCACATTTTTCAATCAGGCGTGAGAAATTGGCCCGCAAGCGTGAGCCGGCGTGAGATCGAAGTTTTCAACCCGCAGGCGTGAGAGTTGGCAGGTATACCTTAGCTCCCAGGGCATTGCTTCCATATTTCTCTTGAAACATTCTTGAGCCATGGAGCGGCGACAACAAAGCACAAAGCAACGAGAAAACGCCTTAAGACCATCACACTGAACGGTGCCTTCACGTTAGGATTAGGATCTGACCTTTCGGGGACCCTTATAATCTTCCAAATAAAATGATCATCAGTAATGACATGTTTGAGGAGAAAGAGGAAAGAACGAAAGTCTTCTGACACCTTGGGTATTGAAAACAATGAATGATATCAAATCAATTCTGAAGGATGGGGAGGGGGTTCTCCCAGACACAAGACAATGAACACAACGGATCTTTTCTTACCTGTCACTCAGACTGGCCTACCTGTAGCCGTGCCCTCCCCCGGAGAGACAGTGGAAGTGGAGGAACCCATTTTCTCTGCGGGAGTGGAGGAGGGGCACAGCTACTCGTAGGATATTTGGGTATGTAAAGATTCGCTGCGTCAGGGAATTCCAAAATTGAGCAAAAATTTAACAAAATCAATAGTCAAGGGTATATCCGGACCCGCATGTAATCTCGTACCCAGATCTCCCACAGCCAAGGGAAAGGCTGAGATATTACATTAAATGCACTATTCTTCTTTATGCAGCAAGATTTTAATCAAAAAAGGAAACATCCGGGACAAACAGGCCTGTTCATGGGCTCCTGGCCTGTTATGAAAGATCTTACAGGATTTTTTTTACTTATTTGTTCATCCCGAAATGTTCCTAACCCACGGTTGAACAACAATAGAAAGACCTCAGCCTTGATGCCAGAAACCAAAACATCCAACGTGACCCCCCCCCTTATTTGAGCTGAAGGAAACCACATTCTCGTCCCTGAGAGCCACCAGACCATTCTTCTCCATCCCATTATACCTCACGTTTCCATTGTTTCCTGTCAGTTTCCTTGTCTGGAAGCCTTGGTTATGGTGACCATTACCCTGGTCGCATGATTATATTTCTATTTTTTTTCCTTCCGTCTACAGAAGTGTCAAAGTTTTTTTTTAATTTCGAGGTACAGTGGGCTCTAGCGGCACCCATGTCTTTAACCCCGGCGGTGAAAAGGACTGCTGGCCTTTATATTACAGATGAAGTAGTATTTACTCAGTTACCATAAAATGTTTCTTTTTTCCTTGGAACTCGTTAGGAAAAACTATGAGAAACGGAGCGTGGAGTGAGGCGGGATCCGGACGGGATGGGATGAGCCGATCATTGGGACGAATCTTTTCTCTTAAAAAACGATGAAAGAAGAATGGAAGTCAGGGATACTTGCATGTTGATCTATGGCCATTGATGGCAATCTAACAAATCAAACAAGCTTCTTATATTATCAAATCAAAAGTACGCGCAGTTCGAATAATAAAAAAAAAAATAATGCGTAACGTTTAACGTTTGCTTTATTGATTTTAGACACTACAAGCGATACTAAACCATAGCTGAGCATTTTAACTCTCTTTTTAACTTTACAAAAGCCTTTTTCTATGTATAAAATAGGGATGGCGAAAGAATCATCTCCATCAAACCTTTTGGCAATAGGGAATATCTCCACAGCAAGAACCACTTTAACCTCGAGGCGGAAGCGCACTTTCACCTCCTCTATTCCATCATAAACTGACAAGTGCCGATGTTTTTAAAATGACGTAACATTTTATATCTAAGAAAACCTTTCGCCACCCCCTTCAGACCCCTTCATAATTTGCAGCTATACACTATGACTACATTGCGGAATATAAGTCTACACCAAAAAAATAACGGGAAACTTTCACCACTGTCTCTGCTACGCTACACTCCCTACACACTCCCTCCGGCCTACCTTCTACGAGGAACAAACAATTATCACCTTCGGTAACTATACGCGGTATCAGTTTCAAATCGATGCGATATCAGTATGATTGCAAACCAATGTTACACATTTTGATGCATATATTAACATCATAATCATTGCTGCAACGCAAAAATAACGATAAAGGCGATTTTTTAGCGTTACATCTAAAAGAACGAGACTATACAGTAAAATCTTTCGGCTAGGACTAAAACCAAGATTTTCCTCTCAGTAAAGTACCGGCAAGCATTATCAAGGCTCTAATAGCAATAATGCTGCAAAGATATATTTATCGTAGGTATTTTCATATGCAGCATTGAACTCTAGCGATAGTTGGGACCAATAATAACCGCTCCCTGCTCATGTAGAAAAGTCTCATTCT